ATTGTAAGAATGGTATGTGATCTTCAAAGTAGATTAAATCACAACATTTTGAGAAGTTGTTTCTGGGAGATGTGTTATTCCGCATAAACAGTGCTGTGTGCCACATAATGCAAGCATGGCTGTAGAGCTACAGGAGGCATTTTGCTTCTGAGTGACCAGACTGTACAGGCAACACCTAAATCCTCAATTTGAGCACTACTGCTAGTTTTTCCAGTATGGAAAGGACAGCAGGAGAATTTACAGCGGGTAGGTATTTGCTTCACTCCAGGTGTGAAGTAATTGAACTGTATACAGTATGAATGCAAGCTCATCAGATAAAGCACTCCAGAATCTGATTACACATGCAAAAAAAGCTTGTTCAGACTGGTGTACAATAGAAAAAATATGTAGTAGAATGATGGAATGTCCCTTCTGGAAGAAAACTTCAAGACTTTAGTCCTAGTAAAAGGTAGTTGCAGATGATTGCTTCACTAGCCCATGATAGGTCAAGAAAACTAAGTGCTTAGGAGGAGACCTATGACCTGCAGCACGCTGAACAATGTCCTTCCAAGCATTGGTACATTCCATCTTACCCTCCTGTAGTCATCTCTGCTTGAAGCATGTTGCTGGTGTGTCTTTTGGATAATGCCGAGATAAATCTTTTCATCCTGCTTCATATTCTCTGCTTTTAAAAACGTGCCAAAGTCTGTCATCTTTATTTGGGATCCTTAAACATTTGGAGTCTCTCCCTTTGACTTTAAGTTTCTGTAAAAGCGACACAGTCCTTTACCTGCACAGACTCATGTGAGGGAGTAAGAATAGCTTGAATAACACTATCTCTTAGCATTAGGACTGTTCACACTACTTTGATTCCTTTTTCAAATCCTGTCAGTCTGCCCAATTAATCAAACAGAACCAAAAGATACAGAATGCCATTGTATTTATGATGGATATTTTCTCATGGGTTGTACCAAGCATGGTTTTGAACATTTGGGGTGAAATTATTCCCCAGCTTCTTGGGTTGATCATTTGCAGTAACACAGCAGTCTAACTGCTGACACAAAATCAATCCTTTTTGTATAACACAAGTGAACTGGACCAACAGGGCTTCTAAGGTAACGTGGTGGTCTAATACGTATGCTCCATCCCCCGGAGGGGCGTTGCACCAATGCTGAGTCACATTAAACCCTTGGGAAATATGCTTTGACTCCAGTTTTGCAAACAAATTAAGACATACCTAACATCTCTGATTATTCAACAGGTCTTTTTTCTTCCTACATAACTGATCTGCAATTTGTGGACTGGCAGACTGGTTTGTCACAACTTATTGTGGTTTCTGAACTTCTAGAGCAGTTATCAGGGAGACCAAGTAGCGTGAGTGGGAGGAAGCTTTGTAGAAGGATTCATGTGGTTGCAGGGAATTGAAGACAGTAACAGTTCTGGAATTTTGGTCTTCCTTGTGTATGCCTGAGAAGTGTTTGTGTCTGGTTCAGTACTGAGGTTGTCAAAGACAGCAGTTGTTCCTTGAGGTTAACTTGCCAAACTCTGGCCTATTACCACTTCTCTCTCTCATTGTTTTTGTTCAATGCTTCTTACTCAAACTATATTTGAAGGGAACAGAGGAAAAGTTGCTATTTTAGATTAATGTGTTTGATCGTTTTTCTCTTGAAAAATTCCCATTAATGTGGTAATTTACACAGGGAGTCTGAATTTTTCAGGTTCTGGTGAAAGTTAATGCCAAACAAGAAACTTTGAAGTTCAGTGAATCTTATGAAATGTAAGGAACTTGACATATGTCTGCCACAAAGTTTTGTTTTCCCAGACACTGTTTAGATCAGAAGAGGTAAAGTTCCTCTAGCTTTTAAAATTTATTGGTGAATAATGTGTTTCTGAACTACATTAGAATGGGACTTAGCCCACTGCCTTGGTTTATGTATTTCATAGCACTTTCCCTTAAACACAACTAATGTTTACATTAACTAGCTTAGATGCAATGTATGATTCCACTGTAAGTGTAGGACTTGGCTTTGAAAATACTCACTATGACAACTGTTCTTTATTTGGAAAGTAAAGACAACTTCTTTTCTTTTAGCTATTATTTTAATAGGCTTGATGGTAGTACCAAATATCTGAGATTTGGGTTTGGATTTTTTTTTTTCATTTCAGTGGTTGCAGTGTCACAAAGTTATTTTGCTTTGCCCTGACATTTGCAAATCCAGGTTGTTTTTTGTTTTTTTTTTAATGTGCATCTACTCCCAACAGTTGTAGTGAGAATCTCTACAGAGATTTTAAGTGTTCTTAATCTAATTTGTTCTTGTTGTTGTTCCTGACTTTTGTCCTCTTTTTACAAAGCATTTATGAGTACTGACTCATGAGAATGTGAGGAGTGCTTTAGTTTACCTGTGATGAAGGAAAGGGGAAGGAAGGGAAGGGAAGAAGAAAGGAAAGGAAAATCTTCTGATACTTAGAAAATGCTTCCTGTGCAGAGCTGTAATTATCAGAAATCTAAGGACAAACACAGCATTTTTTCATTATGTGAAGGAGGCATAAGGACATTTGGTGAAGGACAGACGTGGTGAAACTGTATCAGGTAGTAGGAATACACCCTTTTGCTGCTGTCAGTGTCATGTGTTAGGTAGGTGCACCTCCTCATAGCTGTGCTGCTGTTCTCAGGAGGCATCCTGGAGAGGTGAGCAGGCTGGCACAAGTTAGCTCAGCATTCCCACACACAGCTGTCAGCAGGATTAGCATATTGGGATGCCTGAGCTCTCTGCCACCTGAAAGCAGCTGGATGGAATGGGTTCAGGCACTAGAGATTCAGGACTAGTAGAAGTTAGTAGGGAAGACAGAAAAAATGGATGAGGGAAAGGGAGTATGACTTATAAGTAAAAAAAGTAGCAGCAAAGCATCTAACCATGCTGACAGATGTAACTGAGCGGTAGAACCTGTGTTATAGGTTTTTTTAAAATATATTTGTACTGTAGAGACATGAGACAGGCTTCCTTGATCAGTTGGTAGCATTGCCATGTGAGAATAGCAAGATGACCAAGGCAGTGATGGACACCAGTCAGGCTTCAGGCTCAAGCAACTAATCTTAAAAACAATGCTATGTTACGTAGTTCTGTTCACTTGGGAGTTTCCATGCTAAGCTGCTTTTTTTGAACCTGGCAATTTTGACTCACCCTGTTCCTTATTCCACTCATTTCTGGTATTCTCTGGCCACTCTTGGAGTCCGAGAATTTGGGTAATAGAAATATAGCAAGACTGTGAATAAGATTTTTGCAGGATTTGCAGACTTTTGGAATGCAAACTCCCCTGTGCTTGCAGGGAGCACTTTGAGTAGGTGGTCTATTTGTCTGTCTAAAATCTCAAACAGCATAAAGCTGCTTATTTGAGTTTTTAAGGCACATTGGGTTCCACTTGAATCTCATGAATTTCCTATTTAGTTGTCATTGATGTTGACTGAAAATAAAAGCTCATGATATGTGGTTAAGGCAGAGCTGCTCCAAAAATGAAGTTATGGGGAAGTAATAGGTTTTTTTCCTTATTTGCTTTTTGGATAATTGAAAGGATTGAAAGTCACAGTAATAATGTGTGACTTAGGGAGTAGGAATTCAGTGTCCCTGTGATGGGGAGTGCTAAGGGTGCTGAGGAAGGCTTAGATGTAATATTTGGAAATAACTGCTCTATGTGAATATAAGATGTTTTGAGAATCCTGGCATTTGTCCTGTGGCATAAGTTCTAGTTTGGCTGTGAGGTAGAATTACACCTCATTAGACTTCAATTAAGGTGAGGCATGTCTTCTGATATTTTACTCATCAGAGTGTAATAAAAGCAAGAGATCTTTTTGTGCCCTTCCTAAAAGAAGATTAAATAGTTTAAATTAGTTTGAGAACCTCTGTTAATAAAATTTTGCCTTAGTAAGAAAAAAAGCTGTTCATAGTAAAGACAATGTCACATGATGGCTGTAATCTTGCTGTAAAATAGCAGAAATTATTATTATTATTATTATTATTATTATTATTATTATTATTATTATTATTATTATTAAAAACTTCTGTAAATGTAGTCATTCAGGCCAGGCATTAAATTAGTGGGCAGCATGGTTTGGCTTTCCTCTTTAATCCTAAGAGCATCCTATAGTTTTTGTGAAGCTTCAGGTTTCTGCAGGCAAGTGTGTGTAGGTATTTGTCATATCATTTTAAAGTGTCATCATTCTTCACACCCTGTTATTAATAACAGCTCTTTTTCTCCAAGTTTTCTGGGTTGTCATTTTGTTGGAAAGTTATGGAAAGGGAAGCCAGGGGGATTCCCTTTGGAAGGTATATTGCTCTAATGGTACATTGCTTAGTCCTCAGACTCTGGGTCCACAACACACATTTCTGAAGCAGTGGCATGTGCTGTGAAAAGACAATGCACTGTGGTGGCAACGCTGCTTTTTAAAATAAAACCAATGCTTTTTGTTCTTGGGGAGAGACCTTTATTGTGAAGATACTGCATGTGGACTCTCACAAAAGATGAGAAGTGAGAGGCAAAATATGGCCCATCTTCGTCTTGCAGTATTAGACACAAATAATCTGCTAAGCACCAAGTGCTGTCATGCAAAATGTTTTTTTTGCGGCTTGCCAATCAAATTCATTTCCATTAGTCATCTGAGTCTGAGTACTGAACATGGAATGCATTTTTCCTAAACGAGACGTTCTCTTCAGAACGGAAGCTAGAGCTACAAATTTTATGAGTGCTGAAATACCCATGGCAGTCTTTCAATTTTCCGCTTTTCATTGCTGAAATTCCAGTACTAGAGCTCAGATGTATAGTACTGTTGAGTCAGTAGACACAGATTTTTTTTCAGGATCTCAAACTAAATATAAGTTACAATTTTGTTCTTTAATATATGCTGTATTGTCAACATGTTGCAGTGGCATTCGACGTTACTGTGAATCCTGTAATACACACTTCTATTTCTTTGGTTCTTTGTTTGTTTGTTTATTTATTTATTTATTTTTCCCCCTGCAGTTCAGATGGAGAAAATGGAACTGATGAAAAAAGAAAGGCTGGAAAATCACCCACTGTGTCACTTCAGACCCCTACCAGTGAAATGGAGTATTTTGATGACCGGAAAAAAGTTGATGTTGACAGGTAACGTCAGAAATACTGTCAGTTTTCTGCTAGTGAGATAATTAAAATGGCTGCAACCCACTTCAAAAGCTAGACTGAGTAGCAATATTTATCAGATAACCTAGGGTTAGCTTGCACACTATGCAAGTGAATTGGAATCCAGGTACCTTCCTTAGTTGCCGTGTTACCCGTTGCTAGCAGTGACAATAGAATTTAGACTCTGAGCTGCCTTAGTTCCCCCCTGTTCTAGGAAAAAATATATTGCAGTGTTTGGTGCCACTGCTAGTTACATTTCTTTCATAATCAATTTGACAGGCAGTCAAACAGAGCTGCAGTTTTAGTCCTGGCTTGTTTCCAGAACACTTTCATGCTGGAATATTGATTGTCCATGGTAAAACTATGACATAAGTTTCAATTTTGGACTCTGTGCTGTATATTGCATCAGATTTTTCTAATGTCCCCACAAAGATACTCATTCTTCTTTTGTTGGAGAACTGAAATGCATTTTAAGTGTTTCTAAAAGCTAAAATCCCATGGAGATAGCTTGAACCTTTGCATTCCTTTCACTTTGTCAACTGAACAAAGTGAAAGGGGTCAGCCTGGCACTGTTGTTTTGGTCACAAGGCAAATATTTAAAAAAACATAATTTAATTTAATGAGGCATCTTTGAGGAAAAGGTATTTGAAGGAATATGTTATCACTTTTTTTCCCCCCAAACATTGCAGTCTTACATCTTATATGCTGTAATTGGCTACTTTTGGTGAAGGCTAAATATAATATTTTTGTCAGGCTCGCAGTTTGTTTCAGTTTGACCTGTACTTTACATAAGAACACAAATACATGTGCTCACATATTTTAGAGTTTTCTTCTGTGAGGGCCTGAGATATGCAGCCAGTTTCTCTGCTTCTAAGTCAGTGTCTAAGTGAGATTGCTATAAAATCTCTTTCCTGCTGTGTCTCCATAACACTCAGGGTGGGTTTTTCTTCCTCACACTCATATGGTGCAGTAATGGAAACTTTTGTAGCACCTTTATTTCCATACTGTATCGTTAGCACAACATATTTTTCGGGTCATTCGGTATGAGTCATGTGATGTGGTTTTTTTTCTGCTGTTCAGTTTGCATCTGAGGGCCTCTGAAAAAGAGCTACTGGATTTTTATAGTATGTCAATATGCATTTATTCTGTGTCACATAGATTTCAGAGGGAGTGCTCTCCTCTTTCTGATTTATGAAACAGTTGTCCCACTTCTCTGTTTTTCTGAAGAATACCTGCCATTAATTCCTCCTGTATAAAACAGCAAAATTTATTTTCCGAGCCATCCACAGAGAATTTGATCTATACTTGTTTTTTTTTTTAAAGTTGTTTGAGGTTTTGTCTGGATTCCCAGTATAAATGGCTGGAGCTGTACAAGTACAGCTACCTATATAGCTGGCATTCAGAATTCCATTTCATTTCCTGTAGGGTTGCTGGTTGTCTTAATGATTTCGTTACACTACACTGCACAGTTCAGAGCCATCCTCTGACTTTTGCACCTGTTCTTTATTGCACTTTTCAAATAAGCTCGCAGCTTGGGTTACAAGTTGGTAACACTGCCTTCTGCCTCAACTACTAAGCTTTATATCATTTTAACTTGAATTAGTAAGGAATGTGCTTGCTTAGTATTAGTATCTCACATGTTGCCCAGAAACGAAGATGAAGCTAAGCAATGTGATAATTCATTAAGCTTGAAAAATGTTTTGAACTTTTTGTATTTCCTTGCCAACTAGTCGGTTATTTAGAATACCCCTTCTAAATTGAAAGGAGACCTTCATCAGACTGTCATAGTCAGCAGACTAATGCAGTTTAAGAAAAGATACACTCCTCTTTATCTCTGCATAATCCTTGATGATTTAGATAAGTTATCTAAAGGATTATTATGTTCCATGGAAAAGCACATGCTGTTGGTAACTTACCAAGACCAATGAACTGGGGCCAGGCTTACATCAAATGCTTTAAATCTTCAGGACCAAGAGCAGCACAGATAGTCCAGTCCTGACAATCAAGAGTGACTCCAAGATTGAAAGGAAAAAACGTGCCTCAAATCAGGTAAGGCAGAGACTCTACTTGTTTGCTTACATAAAGTAAAAGTAAACACATAACTACCATGACAGGGCATTTGTTTAGCAACACTGTAGTTCGTGGTTGTATAAGGACACAGCTTCCTTTGTCATCAGTGTGTTAGAGTCTGGGTAAAGCACAATATAGCATTAATAGCCACATAGAAAAAAAAAAAAAAGATTTCTTGTAAAACAAGTGGGCAGAATGGGAAGGTGTGTGGAGGACAGGAAGTGGAGCAGGTCATTTGGTTGTCAGACGGTCTAATAAAGTATGTGTGGTTTTGTTGTCGGGCTTTTTGTTTTTTAGCTGAAGGCAAACGCACACTTTCATAAGCTGTTTCTAGATGTTCCCATTGATGAGCCACTGAAACAAAGTAAGTATTAACCCCCGTGTTGTTGTTGGCTGTGCATCCTAGATAATGTTGTTACCCAACAAATGTGGTGATGTACAAGAGGAGCTACCTGAATTTTAAAAACTTTTAACTCCAGTTACTTAGAGCTACAGAGACTTGATCCACGTGCAATGGGCATTTTGTTGTAATCTTAGAAAATTTAAATCCCTGCATGTTTGGTATATTTGGAAATTTTAGCCCACTTTGCCATTTCTGGGGAGTAGCCTAATCTAATGCATTATTTTTTGGTACTGAATCTTCCTTAACAAAGACAGTACTTGAGACAGCATTGGTCAAGTGAGTAGCTTGAGTTTTTGCTGTTGATGATGTTTTAATGATATAGTATATTTATAAGAAGGGAATTGTACACAGACATGTATAGCAAATGTTTCTTGAAAGGAATGCAGGGAAGGTGGTTTATGAATGAGAAATGGTTTTCTCAATATCTGTGAAGTAAAAGCAGTATTACTTTACATGTGTTGTATCTCTATTGGACATCTATTTTAGACAGCGGCTGTAGAGCTGGAAGTTTAAAGACAAAGCCTTTCATTAAATTATTCACATTTAAGTAATACAGTTACCTAGAAGTTAGTAAAAAGTTTATAGGAAGGTAGGTCATATTCTCTCAGAAAGGATTTTTGACCTTTGTAGGCCAGTTGCATGTCGCTATTCATTTTATTCATTTCAGTTGTTGTCCTTCAAATACTTCGAGTCTAAACTTAGGCCTGTGACATGTTCTGAGCTTGTCAGTATTAGTTAAACATATTGAAAATTTCGAGGTTTGATGATGTTAATCAAAAGGTGTAAACCTAAACATGTCATAGCTTTGTAAAAAGAACAAAACAGAAGCCAAATTGGCTCAGCTTGGCTTGGCTTGATTACATTCAAGATTATAGAATTTCCATTTGTTTCAGGCTTTACCTGTGCTCTGCAGAAAGAAATTCTGTACCAAGGAAAGTTATTCCTTTCTGAAAACTGGATTTGCTTCCATTCCAAGGTTTTTGGTAAAGACACCAAGGTTAGTAAAATGTTTATATATAAAATGCTAATGCTATTCTTAACAATTTGTTTATCACCAGAAGTTCAAATTATTGTGCAAGGCTAGAATAGTAATACTTCCAAGTTTTATTGAATACAGTCACGATTTATGAGTGATGTTTGAAATACAGTCTAGAACTGAACACTATTATTATTAGAGATTGAATCTTTTGTTTAAGGATTTCATGTCTGAAAGAAACAGATGAGAGGAAAGGATCTGACAAGCAGCAGTGAGGGCATTGTCAAACCCTTGTAACACAAATTGCAAAAATGTTTCTCTTGGGATAAGCACATAAAAGAGGAGGAGGAGAAAGAGCTGGAGGAACGAAGGCTGAAAAATATTAGGGGCTTCAAGGCTATAGCTGGGGCACTGGAGGGAAGGATCAAGCGTACTAAGGCATTTAGAAAGGAAGAACTAAAACTGGCTTCTGACTTGAGTAGCAAAGCTCTTTGAAGGATTCTTCTAGCAATCCCGTTTTGCATAAACAAAGAACAGGATAAAAGAAAAAGAAGTTGGCAAGGTGTTTACTTGTGAGCACGGTGTGCAGATCAGAACTGAGATGTGAACTGTTGGGAAGATCATAAATTAGTTTTTCTTGGTGATCCACCTAAAGTTTAGTACCCCTGAGGTGAATTATGTGCATACAGAAAAAACAAAGACTTGGATCTGTTGATTTGGAGCTTTTGGACTGCTCTTTGTTTACATAAACTGCTTTGGTTTTGACCGCTTCTGGGGAAACAGATCAAAATGCTTCAAGGATTTCTTTGGCTTCTTTCTTTCAGGTGCACCCTTGAACAAAGCTCCTGGTTAGATCTAGTGGTGTAGGGGTTGATTAGGGGTTGAGATTATCTCATTTCTCTGGGGTCAGCTGTTTTGGTGGTATACCATCTGTTGTTAAAGGGCTTTTTATAAAGCGTAATAGGTTTAAAGAATGTTTAGTATTCTTGACAGCACATTGTCCATAGCGACCTTATGGGTTATTGTGTTCCGCCACTTGGCCCAGGACTGTTGTTGATTTCTATTTAATGGATTCTACTAGTCATAGACAGTACGTTAATGCGGATGGTGTGTATGTTGGTGAAAGCTGTATGACACAAAGTGAAAAACAACTGGTTGACTACTGTCATTCAATATTGGTAACAGCTATCTTTGCAATTTATTAAAATTTAAGTTGCTGTACTAGCAATCTTTGGTTCACCATGAACAATTGGAACTACTTCAAACTGTGGAACAGCTTTCTAATGTCAACGAAGCTAAAGGTATACAAGAATATGGTAGAACTTTACTGAGTAGAAAAACTGAGAAAAATGTGCAGAATGATGATGATGATGTAGCACTAGGAAATCATTTGTCAACAAGTTTTTAAGTTCAGGGATATATACATACTTACATGTATGCTGAAAAGTGAAAACATTTTACAAGATAGGGTAGAATAAACACTGGATATGTAATTATAACAATATTGCAAATTACTCAATTCTGGGTCTTATTTTCAGAAAATATTGTGGGGAAAACTAAGAGTGAAGGAGATAGTCCTTATCATTTATTTACAGCTTCATTCTGCTTTTAGGAATTCCATCAAGAAAAAAGCTTGAAAATGAGGGATACAATGAAAAATGATGTCGTGGGAAAGGAAGGAGGAAATCAAGCTGGACAGGAAGAGGAACATTCTTAGCAGTCAGATACACTGACAGAGTTTTCAGGACACAAAGCTTCTGTCAATATAAGCTTAGGGATAAAGTAACTGAAAGCTTTCATGCAGGAAACAGCTATGCAATTCAGGAGTTTGGAGTATGCAGTAGAGACACTGTGTATATTCAAAAGTAAAAGATTGCTTCTGCCAGATTGAATGGGCATGAAAAATGTATTTTCCAGGTAGCACTCATTTGGCTATATATATATTGACCTTGAGTCTTTCTTGGATTTAAACATTGTTTTACCCTTTTAAATTACTTTCTATGTTGCCTGCAGGTTTTAAACCTTTTATTCTGAAATAATTATTGTTCCAGATAAAAGTATTTGTGATCAAACAGTGATTCCACCCTTCCAATCTAATGCTGTGGGAACAGTGCAGTAAGCAAGTGCTGAATGGAGACATTAGTTTTGATTACAGTAATGTTATCCATCTAAACTACACGCAGTAGAATGTCGTTTACATCTCTAATTTAAAGTTCTTTAAGGTGAATTGTGGACTGAACCAACTAGAAAATTGTAAGCTGCTTTCTTGTAGCTTGTAGCAGGATTTCTGTTCAAGCAGTATTTGGCAATCTTGCAACCAAACGGTTATCCACAAAGATTTTTTTTTTTTTTTACCTGGTACAATTTTTCATTTCATCATTTTGTGTTACTGTTCTGAACAAAAGTTAACAAGAAACTGCACAGAGTAACTTCATTCTCCTCCAATGGCATATTTTAATTCAGTGCTTAGATTGCTAACTGAACAAATTATGGATACTTTTAACCTTGCTTCCAAATTTCTCAGGTAGTTCTGAGAGCCTGTGCCAAAGATATTTTTAACAATATCTATTTCTTAATCATGGTTGTTATTATCCATGATTATTATATTATGTACATATCCAGGATTATTATATTTGCCTAACTCACTGGATCTCTGGGCTTTTCAACTCACTGTCTCCAACCAGGTTTTTTTACCTTTGTAAATTGGGATTTACAGGAAGAATATTTCCATGCAGAATATTTGAAGTGAAATACTCTGAAACTTAGCAGATGTTACGCTAATGGTGTTGGATGTAAAAATAAAGGAGGAAGGAGAATTGAGAACTTTTCAATGTAAATGTAGACTGCCTCCTTGGCACACACAGGAATCAGTTGAAGTCAGCGGGTGTGTCAGTATTGGGTCTTTCAACCTTGCTGAAGGACAAGCTATTTACTCACCTGCTTGTGGCAGATCTGTAAGTGGTAAGAAGATTTTTATGCTCATTATTCAACAAGCTTTTCTTGTCTGATATGTTCTGAAATATTTGGTTTCTAAACAAGGAAGCGTAGCTTTAAGATTGGTTCATTTTGCTGATCCGCAGTGCACGTAGCCCCTAGGCTTGTGAGAACCAGAAAGGATCAGGAAAGGAAGGCACAAACAAATGCCTGGCTTAGCATTTTATAAAAGCAGAAGTAAAAGTAGTTAGGTGTGGTTTCAGATTATTACCGTTTCTTATTTTACATGAAATAATAGTAATCAGAGGGGCAGTGGAGACATCTTTAAATGGTGAGTGTTGAAGGTCTGGCTTATCCCAGTAGCTGGGCTGGCCCCTTGGGAGAGAGTGTGATGCAGATTTGTATGCGGGATTCCAATGCTACATTGATCTATTTTCAGATTAGTATACCTGTGCTGTCAGTGACACTTCTGAAGAAAACCAAAACTGCCCTTCTTGTGCCAAATGCTCTGATCATAGCGACAGTGACAGATAGGGTAAGTACTGGTAGAGGACAAGGTATTTCAGTGGGAAAATAAAGAATAGAATCTCTGTTTGCCACGTGCTCTCTGTAATCATTCATTCCCTGTTTTCCAAGAATTCATAGCACCAGAGGAAATGAAAAAGCTGAGTCAGGAGGTGCATGCACAGAGGAATACCTTCTTTGTTAGCAGCTCAGTCAGTGTCCTTCCATTTACTTGTATCTCTTACCTAAAAACTGTTGCTTACAGTGATATTCAGGAATTATAATTAATTGCATCAATCAGTAGAAAATGTGATTATCCTATGAGCAGCTTCAGAAACAACGCATTTTCATTGCACAGATATTTTGGGGGTGCAGGAGACAGTACATAAAAGCAAGTTTGGGGTTTTGTTTGTTTGGAGGTTTTTTAAGGGGTAGGTAAAACACAGCATGAAAAGAGTTTTTAAAAGAAAGAACAGATCTGGATTATGCTCTTGTTCCTGTAGCAGAACATGGTAACTTTTGTGTGTCTGTTCTGTGTTCATGTAATAAACACCGAGTCATAGGCTTAGAAGGACCGCAGGCTTTTCCTGCCATACTAAGGTTCTTGAAAATTGTTACTTGATCTGAAAAATCACCTGTCAAGTTTTATTTAGATAAGAGAAAGTCTGTATGTCTTTCTGTCTTTTGCAAACAGTCATGGAACTTTTATTTTGCAGTACATGTTTGTATCACTACTCTCCAGAGATACCACGTACAAGCTATTAAAATCTATCTGCACACATCTTGACGTAAGTACTAGTGACAGTGAAAATGGTATGTAGCTTTGTCTTCATTATTACTGCTATCTTGCTGTGAAATGGTACTGTCTGCTTGTGTTCCTTGTTGACAGTGCTGCTTTTTTTCAGGATACAAGCATGGGCAACAGTCCAAATCCCTCTTCTGCAGAAAACAGCTTCAGGGCTGATCGCCCTAGAACTCTGCCCCTGGTAAATGGCTTAGAAGTTTGTTCTTTTGTTGCATGGCATCTTTCATTGCAAGTACTATTTATAATGCATGAAGAAAGGAAACTGAAGAAAATCATGACATCTGTATCTAAAATTTACATGAGTCTTTAATGCTGGAAAACAGTCAGAATAATTAGCATAATTATCCGTGATATGCAGTTTATATACATGCATACACTTTGGATTTATTCAAGTCTGTATGTTCTCCATATCTCTGTCTACCAATCAGATTTCACTGTACTGGCATAAAGTCTGCCATGGACAGTTTTTGCAGTGTTTGTAGTAGCAAACCTTCCTCTGGAAAACAGTTCACTCATCTGAAAGACATGTGAAGCCACATGTGATGACCAGAGTCTAAGTCTATGGACTTATCCTGGGCTTCACAACCTGTCTAACTTAACAGTCTTTCTTACAGACAAAGAAGGAGATGAAGCTTGAATTCTGGTGATCTTATGGAGCTTATTTTTTAGTTTGATCTCAACATGTTGATATCAGAGATTGCTCCTGGTTAAACAGTTCTAAAGCTTGGATCTTTGGTTCAGATTCTAGAGGGAATTAGATTGTTTTGATTTAGAACAGGGCTGAGCCTTTGTGTGATTCATTCTCCCCATCAGGATTTCAACGAAGATTATTCTGATCTGGATGGAATAGTGCAGCAGCGAAGACAAGAAATGGAAGAGTCCAGCAGCACAAGCTCACAGACACCAGAGCTGGAGTGCTTCCAAGGTGAGTGGGATCATGGAGCCCCAAGAGAAGAAGAATGGACTAGCTCTCAGTTTTGCTTCTGTATCCCCTTCTGATGTGGAATCTAGATTCTCCATGGTCCTGGAGAATTATGTGGATTTTGAGATCTTCCTCAAGGCCCCAGTATCTACATTTCTGTTACCATGGCCCTCTGCAATCCAGCCTCAGACAATGACTTGGTCATCAGCAGATCTAAATTGTCCCTACTGGTTCCAGTTGCTTAGCCATGTGAGCAGAAATAGAATGTAGGAGCCATTCATGCTTTAAAACACGAAGGAAAAACAAACAATCAAAACCCATTCTAAAGTAGTTCAAGTCACAGTACAACTTCTGATCTATACAAATAACACTTTTCTACCATGGTGGCTTTTGGTCATCAAGGTTATTTTTATGTGTTTTTTGTGGAGTTTTTTAAACACTCATTTTATTCTTTGCAGCTATTAATATATTTGAAGATACCAGCCAAAGTTGTTCTTTCTTTACCACACTCTTTGTAATCTCTTTTCTCGAGTTCTTCACCTAACTAGCAGCTGTTCTGATCGAAATTCACTTCATAATTCATACTTCATGACTTCATAAGTACAACAATACTTGTTTTGTGTAGCTCATGCTGAATGTTATTATGAAAACGTAGAGCATTCTTTTGTACAATTAATATATATTAAGATATTAATTTGTTAATGCTGTTAGTACTCTGGGTTCCATCTTGACTATAATTTCTATAAGAAACTGTTGAAAGACACTGTCATTTTTTATAGCAGTTCTCTGTCATGTTATTTTTTATTTACTCTCCTTTTTGCTCTGTGTCATTTGTTCAGCAGAATGAATTGGAGTTATTTGCTTTCATTGGTATTTTATATTTACTGTGCATCTGTCTTTAATTTTGTGGTGCTGTTCATTAAATTGTGATGTCATCACATGCCACAGAAGTGCTTCTAAATAATGTTCTAACTTGCTGTCTTACTTCCTGATGGCCAGTAACTACTTCAAACCATTTCTTTTTCCACAAATGAAAACCAATATCCAGGCAAAGAACCATCCTAGGAAAAGGAATTGAAAGCGGAGGTGAAAGGTAGCATGTCTGTTACTTATGGTTGTTTTTTGTGCATAATTAGAGAAAGTCCAGGGTAAACAGGTAGAGCACAAAACTGAGTGTGATTAGATTTTTCTGTTCCATTTCTTTCAAGATACCACTGGCATTTTTAAAGACAGTCAGGAAAGGGAGTTTTAATGTCCTTTTTAAAGTAACAATTCACTATCCCATTTGGTGTTGCTATTAAAGTAATTTGGAATCATTACTCTAGCAAATTCTGGCTTTTTGAGAGATTACTTTTGTGACTATAATCTTCTGCCTGTAAATTCAGTAGTAGCTTTCAAGATTTTCATGGGTTGCCATATTTTAAAAGATCTGGAATATAAATGCAACACATATAATCTTCTTTCAATCCAGGTGCTTCTTTTTATTTTGTATTGATGTGGAATTAGTATATAAACTGTTTCAAGGATACTAAATCAACTTCTGCTTTTTACCCAAAAGTACAGAAATACAGCTTTTAAAATTCTCCTCTTCCTCTATTTCTTGACCTATAAGCTATCCTTGACAAATAAGCTATCAACAATTTCCTTTGACTTCTGTTTCACCTCTGTTAAAATTCTTCCTTTTGACAGATTATCACGTTGTTGAAACAGAGACTCATTTGAAAGTTTCCAAGCCTGAGGCCAAGTCTGTTCGTTCAGATGCACATAGTAAACGTGGGCCTGATGGAAAAGCGCGGAACAGTCCTCGAAATGGTAAGACATCAAGGACAGATCTTCAGCTGGAATAACTTGAGATAAGTCTGCATAAGTATGTCAGTTCACATTACATGGAAGATCTCTTTCTTGTTTCTCCCTCTACATTATCTGTTGCATTCTTCAAAACATTGTTTATATTCTGTCGTCTGCTCTGCTCAAAGTAAGACTTGGTTCTTTCCCTTGCAGGCCATTCTGAAGCCTTCAAGTTCCTCCACAGAGTGAAGTCCCAGAATCTCTTATCTCTGAACCATGTACTTGTATTTTATGCAATTCTGTAAGTTAGCAGTTAGGAGATTGTTAAAAACTAGGATTTTCTTATGTTTACGTGATTGATACAATGTAAGCATGACTGATATAATCTAAGCTTTACTTAAGAAAAGGAAATTACTGGGAATTGTGGCCTTTACACTTCCCAGAAATGTGTATATACATACATACATACATATGTATGTATATACATATATCTATATAAGCCTGCTGCGACGGGCTTATACTCAACTGGCCATTTACTTTTAAAAGCAAAGGGTCTTTTGATACAGAAAATGTTAAAAGTGCTTAAGTACTTGCAGAGGTTCCTTTTGCATGTCACTTAGCAAACACAGACTCAGGTTTGAGATTTTCATAACTGTCTGAATGCCATTGGTGCTATTCCTGAAATGTTTCTGAGAACAGTATTATTATTGAGCACATCCAAGTAACAATTTAAATGGTTTTTAACAACGAATTTGTCAGGTACTGCTAAAGTTTCCTTAATTGACATGCTTTATTTTTCTCTATTACAGTGTTTGTGTTTTAATACTTTCTACCTTCTACATGAGATATAAAATCAGTGTCCTGGAGGAGCGCCTTATGTCCATGACAGCCTTTGATTCACATATTAAGGAGTAAGATAAACTCTGGAAAAGTATTGGGGATTTAAAATCTTTATCCAGAGCAATGATTCCATGAAAAAGGTGTAACTTCTGTCTTGAGTCTTAGTGTAATTTGATTAGTATGTTAGAAACGTGCTTCATTCTCTTTGAGCTAATGCATCTCTTTTGCTTGTATAAAGCTTTGTGTTGTCTGTATACCATTTAGAAACCGATATCCTGTTTTTCTGAAATAAAAAAACGCCACACCGCAAAACCAAACCAAAGCAAAATCCAAACACACCAAGGGACAGGTGTCTGTGTATTTGAAGAGAAAATAGGGAAAGGAGCCATAGCTACATAAATAATTCCTTTCTGTAGCTGGAGTCACGGCTGTCATCTGTCCTGCAGTTAGTTTTTTTGTATTTTTTTTGTCTCCACGTTGCATAGATAGAAAATATGCAAATATTAAATGGAGAAGCAGTGCAGAGGCATGTGGGGTTTTTTCCACTGTAGTTTGCCTCTATAAGTTGTATTAGCTCCCTGTTCTTGTCTTAGGAAGTTAAACTGGATACTGCTGAGAATACTAATCAGTTTATTGAGCATTAGATTTTGCATTAACTCTTCTCCCCTTCTTGCAACAGATTTTTTTCCCTGAGCTGCTCTGAAAAATTTGGCTTCAAAAGTAATTTGTAAACTCAGTACAAAACCTACAGCCACATGCAACATGAGTGGAAATGATGACAGCTGGAGAAGCACCACATGAAAAAGAGAAGGGAAAAATAAAATTCAAGACAGAGCTGATTCAGGCATGGTGGAACTGTTTGCAAAGTGGTTCAAATTTAGCAAGCTCTAACATAAGTGTGCTTTTAAATTCAGCTTTCTTTGATTACCCATCCATGGCAAAACAGGTCACTCTGACATTGCACTCATGGTCATATCAAACAATGACTGTGCTGTTTATGATCCAACTGGTCTCCGCTGTCATCTGTGGAAAGCAGTAGGACTTTTATGCATGTATAGGAAGGAAATGGTGCTCTATCTATGCAGCCCTGCATTTATATTTCACCATTTTATAATGCAAGAAGTGGGGTAAACTTGTCCCACATAGTAAGCAATGTCAAAAGCCTTTTTTCTCACTTCTGGCCTATTTTTTTTAGCAGGATACTGTGTCCCTCTTCAGAAACACTAACACAAGAAAGTCCTGTTTCTGTTGCTCTGATCCCAAAGAGTACAAGATACAGGAAGGAAGATCTAATGTGCACTTCTGCAATGTCAAGGGCTTGGGCTTTCTGATTTCCTCCAAGTCGCAGGATATGGAACTTATGGAACTTTTCTGGGGAAATAGCTGTAAAGTGTTCTATCCAAACTTCTGGAGAATGAGATCACATAGAAAATGTAGTCAAGAAGTGACAGCACTTTTTTCTTTCTGTGAACTACTACGGTTTACAATTTCTGCACTGTTGCCCTCTCCATGTGTATCCAGTTCTGTTTTCCTCATTTTTTGAGTCTGTCACACTTACTTTTTCATTCTATTTGACAGACATCAAGTGCACCAAGATTTGGGATCTCACCTGCAAATTAGTGCTGATGCCCTTTGTGATGAGTTAACTGCTAATCTTAGAAAATTGGAAAAGGTAACATAGTATGATATAATGCAAATGCTTATAGACCAGTCAGGTTCTTGCTGTGTTTCCATGATCTTTTATCTTGAAAAGTGTTGAGTTACCCCCAAATTCGATACAAAAAGATGGCATGTTTTCCTAGACAAAGGACCTGCTTTCGGACTATAACCCTAGTATAAACATTAGTATGTGTAAAAGCTTTGCCTTGAGCTGGCAAGTGTCCCTGAGGCAGACACTTCAATGGTTATTATTGCATTATGTAGTGATGTCAACTTTTTTTTTTTCTTTTTTTTTTAATCTACCAGAGCTAAGGATTTTGAACTCAGCCTTTATTGGTATTCGATTAATCTTTCTGTCTGGGGCTTTTGTTGGAGTTTTGGGGTTTTGATTAAGAAAAATGGTGCTTGCTTACATATGTAGTCAGGTTGTTCACACAGAGTGGCTGAGATCTGCTTGTTTTACTTCAGTAACACAAATGCTGCTGCACCAGTTGTGCAATTCCCTATACCTGACCCTTGCTTTTTACCGTTCTCTAATTGGAAAGCTAAACATATTTGGTGACTTAAATTGAAAGCCTGTGAGAAACAAGTGGGTGTGCAGACCTTATTTCCTTACTTGGTGTTTTTCCACTTTCTAAAACACTTTATCAGAGACACCACCACTCTCATGGCTGTGCCCTGTGGTGGGTCTGCTGGATGCTGCTGGAATGGCTGTGTCCAGCACAGGGCAGCCCCTGGCCCTGGCACACACCTGCCCTCAAACCTTGTCAAATGCACCCAGCACAGGTGGGTGAAATGCTGTGTGTTGGGTACACATACACAGGCTGAGCATGACAAAAGCACTAGTGGAACAAAACCAAAAGTTACTTGAATTCCTTTGTGCTTAAGTCACATGGGGATATTTTTGCCTCTGTTTCTAAAACTGAGTCTGTGCCAAGGTCTTTCAACACCTTTTTTTCCCCAGACCAAATTTCTCAAATAGCATAAAGCTAAGACTATATAATATCACTGTTTACAAGTGTGGCATAGGTTTTAGAAATACTGCCAAAAAGGGTTACATCTTCACCTTCTTGACTCACAAAAAAAAAAAAAAAATCCATAGTTTGCTGGCTTAACCCCTTTGTATTTTCTGGACAATAACAATATGAATACAAAGGGAAAATGCTTACCAGATGGTTACCAGATAAAGTCTTCAGCCAAATTAGGTCATTTAGGAGGTTACTGCTTTCTGGCTGTCTGGGGCAGGCTGGCAAGGTGGTTCACAGGAGACCTCATTTCAGTGGGAAGCCAGCCAGCCCTTTGCAGCAGGGCTAGGCACTGTCCCACTCCCTTATATAGTCTCTTCTTGGAGACAGTAATGGACAGCTGGATGGTTAGGTCATTCATCTGTTCCCAGAGAAGTGACCTTCTGTCCTGAATTAGAGTCTTATGTGGTGTACCTTTTTTTGTTTAGTGTCTTGCTTTCTTTGTTTAGTGTCTGCAGGATTGGAGCCTTAAAGACTTACCTTTATCTGTCAGATATTCAGGGCAATGAAGCTCTGCATACAAGCTAAACCAGAATTGCCTGTAGCTGCATATTGCCACATCCTGTTCTAATCTAGATGAGCAGTGGTTAGAAATCTAATAGCTTTTTTATTCTCTGAGTGAAGTTACTGCAGTTGTTTAACAGTTTCATATGCCTTAGTGAAAAGTGCTGGTAACTGGCTGCAGCAGCAAAGGTAGCATACATGTTCTAGTATAACTTGTCATGTCTCCCCTTACTTTCCCTGTGACCACAGCACTGAGATTATCTAGATGAAAAACTAAAAATTACTCTGCAGTTAAAAATTGGTTAGAGCACAAATATGTTGCAATAGCTTTTTCAGTGTGACCTTGTGATTTTTCCAAGTTCTCCTTCATACTTGGAGTTGAGGAACTACCATTGTTTAGCAAAATTCTGCTCACTTGGCTTTTAATTGTATTTAGCAGTTTGTTAAAATGCACTGTGTCTGTCAAAGGATAAAGCATTAAATTGTGAGAAGGAAAATGTGTCCTAATATTACTCTTTCCTTTACACTAACTTACCAAGCTAAAAGGAAATTCCTGTTTACGTGTTAAGCAACTCTCATAAAATTAGGTGCTTCTACTGTTTCCCTTTCCTCAAAATGTCCTTCTTGTAAAGGTGTGTATCTGGGATAGAAATCATGACATAGGACTGAAAAGTGGTATCTTTGAGCAGGAAGTACAGTGGCTCCTTAAATTAAAGCCTGAAAACAGCTGTGACTAAATCTGTAACCAGTGACGGCAAGTTACTGAGATATTGAGAACATGTGTGTCTGGGGATGTGACCCACTCTGTCCCCTCCTCTCTGCTTTTAAGGACAAGGAGATGAAAAGTGGATAAATAGGCTATGTAAAAATAGATCTGTTCAAATTATTCTTCAGGATGCAACTGGCTGACATTACTTTCATTGCAGCTAAAGGAAGATAGCCCACAATCAATTCACTAAATCTGGTAAATGGGACATGTCTGCTAATGGTTAGAAGACTCTACTTTGCTGTGCACATATCATGGCTAAAGCTGTTACAAAACTATTTGAATTATCCATTTAGCCATAGAGCTATGACTTGGAAGTTTGAGGCTTTTACTAGATTTTAATCAAGGTGAAAATAATTCCGTTTCTTGTCCCATTGCTTCTAGCTATGATTTTTAGTTCTGTCTTATTTTCTTATGACTAATGAAGGAGACAATCTATAGGAGAAAATTTCAGGGGATATTCATTATGTGAAATTTGCTAGTTGATTGTCTAGGTGTTCCATTTGATGCACTTCTATTACACTTATAATAAGGGAAGCATTTAACAGGAATACCATAGGTGTTAAAAGGTGCGACAGAATTAACATGCAGACAGAGTATATTGAAGAGTATGTCTTGATTTTATTTTTTTATGGAAAATGCAGTGTAACACTTCTTGCCTCACAACTCTTTCCCTCTCTTTTTCTAAGATACAGAACAATTTACAAAAACTACTTGAAGATGGTGAATGAAACATCAATGTTCTTGGACACTTCAGACCTCATTCTTCTGTCTTGACAAACCGTTCCAAAGGAGCTCTGCTGGCCAGAGTTCAAGCTTCTTTATTTTCAGTCCAAGCCAAGCTTAAACTACTGTAAAGCTCATGTCATAATGCAAAAAAGTCAGTTGATTCTTCAGCATGTATCTATATATTTTGCAAACATATATGGTTTGGTCTACATGTATCTGTGTTATAAAAATGTGGGGATTTTTCTTTCTCTGAGTGTGAATTAATGGATTTTATAGCTTGCTTGATTTTAGAGTTGCTTTCACCAGTGCAAACCTGGTGCATATCATTTTACCTCAACATTTACTTTATGCCTATTGTCATACAAGTATATACGTGAAGAATGTCAGTCATGATTCATGTACTAAAGTGTTGTGTGAATGAGCAGGTATCTGTTTTAGCTATGAATATGGATTGGTGCTGTGCTCTTCATTTTTATTTACTTCTCTGCACCCTGACATCCCAAAGATCAGAAAACAGACGCCTCTGTGTTTGGGTATGCAAAGTGATGAATGTTTGAGGCCTGCTCAGTTCTCCAGAGCTGTAAAAAGGCTCAATTCCACTTTCTGTAACACTGTATCACCACTGAGGGTAAGGTCTGTTTCTGCTGGGCATTCAGGTTCCATCAAAAGTCAAACCTGAAATGTGTATGGATTTGCCAATTTGCAGTCAATTTGCTTATGAATAGCAATATGGGTGTGACACACCTGCACAACTTAGAAGAACTTCTTGTTTTCTGTCCTCTCATATGGTCTCTGTCGTTTTAAGTTAATCAGCATGAAGATCCTCACTCAGCTTTCCTTGGAGTTGCCTGGGGTTTTGGTTGGCTGAGCAAGTGCAATTTGTAGTCCAGTAAATGGAAATCTAGTCTTGGTATGTGACTCCAGGGACTGGATATTTCCACATAACGAGAACTGGCAAATTAATGGTGCAGCAATACAAACAATCAGTAGAGTGAATGAAAAAAGTGGACACCTGCTTTGTTATATCACGTCCTGTTTTTTTTCCCAGAGTGCCTAAGGGGATTTCAGCTTTTTGATTCACCAAGCAGGCTCATTAGTTTTTAAAAAGCAATATTTAGAATAATAACTACTATCTGTGAAGTAACAGTATTGTTTATAATATGCTATGCATTTTATAACCATTTCTGTGAAATGTACCTACTTTGTTTAAATAAACTTTTTTAAAACCAGTGACTCAATACTATAATTTCAATGAACACAAGTTCATCCATTAGTTTTAGTCAAGTGTGATATTCATGAGGCTTATATCTCATGGTACAGTTTGTGCAAAACCCAGAAAGCAACACAAGGGGTTAGGAACTGCTTCCTGCCGCAGTCCTTCCTCTGACTGTTGTGTGTGACTTCTTTCTGGATCTCAATGACAACAGTAAGAACAAACTTGGCCCCCAGAGTTTTGGGGACATGTTAATAGTTTTCTCAAGTTCCTCAGGTTTCTCAGTATCCTTGGAGGATATTGGATGGGTATCGGAATGCTGAGGCAGCTTAGAGGGCTCTGAGGGCTCTAACATGCCTGCCTGGCTCAAGATTCCACATGAGCACAGTATGTAAGAAATCTGTGAGATTTGACAGTTCTCCCTATTGAAGTCTCTGCCTTTGCTTCCTCAGCTATTGTGATTTTATTGGAAAATTCAGCTTCACAAAAAAACTGTTGAAATAAGTTACTTTTTAATTTTTCCATTTTTTCCCCTACTTTCCTCTACAGTTGCGCAGCTTATGTAATGTTTTGGACTCTCTATTCATCCTCTACCTTTCTCTTCTTCCCTGCCTTTAATTCTGTATCAGAAGTCTCTAGCTCTGTGGTTGAAAAATTGATGCCATGAGTCACTTTTATCAAAGAAACTACAAGAAGACTTGGTTATATCCAGCAGTTGAACTGTGTTAGCCTTTTACTTACCTTACATTGTCGAGTCTCTGCTTTTCTACAGGAGAACAGGGAGAGAGATAATATTTGATAGGTGCCTTAAGTAAATCAGGCAGGCTAAGGCCTTATCATTAGCCATACGGAACAAAATAATTACTGTATGGAATGAGCAATCAGGTGGATGTGTGCCCTTTAGCCTGCTGCAGCAGCATGCCAGGGGAGGCGAGTCTGGACAAAGCTCTAACAGTGTTCTTGTAACACGGGAAGGTGAACTACGCTCCAGAGAAAGCGTTGGCTTGTGACACAGCAGCCGTGTGAGCGCACTGGCGCAGTTCAGTGTGACCTCTGCTCTGCCCCTCAGGTGCTACCCTCACTCCCCCTTTTCCTGGAGGGAGGAGGAGGATGTCTCACTCCTCGGGCATCAGGGCACAGGTGGGCAGCGTGCTGTATTGAGGAGCTCCAGGGAGCGCTGCGAGGCCCCACGTGGAGAAAGCTTAGAGTGGAGAAGGCTTAGAAGGGAGCCGAGTGATTTAAGAGTGATTTAAATCGTGTGATTCAGGCTCGCAACTGGGGTGGAGGGGGTTTGCCCCAGTGTTTGGGAGGAAACTACTAACAGCAGGGATAAGCAAGGAAAAGCTGCTTCCCCCAAGGCTGACAGCCTGTTAAAGAGCAGGGAGACTTATTCCAGTATCTGTGGCAGGTAATGCATACAAAGGCTATGAGGAGGGTTTGTTGGGTTTTTTTTGGCAAAAGCACAAGTTTGCAGAAGGAGGTGGGAAAGATGTGTGACTTCAGGGAAGTCAGAACTGCACACAAAATTCTTAGCACACACTAAATTGTTCATAATTTGCTGCATAGGCTGCATAGAAATCTGCTTTAAAAAGACAGTTTTAAAATTTCTTGTGTGTTTGTGTTTCCAGTTTTGTCCACTTGTCCTTGACAGCACAGAGGCCAGAAAAACAGCTGAGTTCCACCAGTCACACAGGACTAGTAGTTAGTAGTGCCAGGTTCTGGGAAGATGCTTTGAGTTTGAAGGTGGAAAGCAAGAGGGGCCCATCACGTGTGTTTTCTCTAGTTGCAGTTAGTGAAAGAAGTAGTGAGGATTTGTAATGGCTTTTGGATTGAGGAGTTGTTGAATTTGTTTTCTGTCAAGATATCAAGGTATGAAGTTTATAGTGCTGTTGTTGTGAAGGATGCAGCTAGCACTCCAGGCAGGAAGTATTATCAGCTGAAAGCCTCCCTCTCAACAGAACATCAAAGGTAGTAGGTCCCATTAGTATGTGCAGGAAAGACAAACAGTTTTGTATGTGTTTTTGTCTGAGTATATCTGAATTTAATATTATTAACTGCTTGCACATGAACCTTTGTACAGGTGTGTGGTAATGCTTTCTGCTTCCTGCTAGACTGCGCTTTCATTTCCATGTTGCCACCTCATAATCAGTTCAAAAAATGCTAAAGAAATCTCCAGGTTGGTGATATCCAGGCCTTTGCAGGCTATTGCTCAGCTGGTTCAGCTGCAACTGCTAGTAAGGTGTTATTCCCAAATAAGTGGGAGATTTTGCATTTACAGAGCAGGTGTGACGTGCAGTAATGATCAGAAAAAGCTGCTATTTAGACAGAAAACTGAGCAAACAGTTACACTGAGCAAACAGTTCTTTTTGTGTTCAGTGCCTGTGTGTATGCTTCTATAAACAACAGAGGAATAATGTCATTTGAAAGGATTTTACCAGCACCTGCTTTTCAGTTTCCCTGGTGAGACTATCTGAGTCTGACAGGCAAATTTGCTCAAGAGGAAAAATTGACTCATCTCATTTGACACTTCTAGCTTTATGGTTTGAACCCAGTGGACCGTTCTGCTAAACACGATTACATGTAATGAGACTTTACAAAAGAGATGGGTTTTTTGCCTTCTCAGGTTTTAAAATTGGTGTAGTATCATTTTATTAATGTAGAGCCTCATAATATCCTGTTGTTCACTGAACAGTCACAAAAATGTATGACAGTAAATTTCATTTAAATATGTATAAAGCTGCTCCCTGTTTATTACAAGCCATCCTGGATTTTAACAAAAAAATCAGTCAAATGTGAACAATAAAACAATGTACAATCTACAGTAAATCCACAACACTTGTGAGAGTTTATTCCCTGAGCTTCATGGAATGTTGTGATGCCTATCACACCTCCTATCCAAAATATAGGCATTTCACTTATACTGTTGTTGTTTCAGAACTTCTGGTGGTACCTACTTACCCTCAAGTTTCCATGTAGTCAAACTGGCCAGTGAGACTATGCCTACTCATCTTGCATTAAATCTCATATTATTTGGGTGACAAGGCCTAGATCTAGTGTTTGTGAGACTGTGATTACACCTGCTATTGGTAGCACCCTCAAAAGGGATGATCCCAAGCAGGAACTGATTAGAAGTCTGCTATGAGAGGATACAAGCAGGGTCAGTATGATAATCAGAAGCAGGTTTTTTTCTCCTGTACCTAGTTTCTTATCTAATTATAATTTACAAACAAGGCGTCAGGATGCAGCACCTTAGCAAGCAGACTTTGAGCGGGAATTCAAGGCATGTCAGTAAAGCCTTTCCCAAGACTGTGTTTCACGTACGAAATCGACAAGAATATTCCAGTTTTTCCCTAATGAAGTGACAAATGCTTTGCTTGAATCACTTTATCTATTTTCCCCACAATGGGCAGTATTTGTGCCAAAAACTCCACCCTGAGTTGGATGTCTGTTCACTAAGTAAACACCTGTCCTAAAAACCTTGAAAATCAGTTCAAGTTCTTGAAGAGAGTTGTTGTAGAAAAGATTGCCCTGCCAGCCTTCATGAGTTCATTCTGGATAGCTCTTCCCCCTGATTGTTTTCTTTTTAATTTGTCCACTGTGAGTAGAGCTTCTGCTGATGTATTTTACTGTCTATGTGACTCTTATTTTCCAGTTTCTGTACTAAGTCCATTTGGAAACTGCTTAAGTGTTCGTTATGTTCTTAAATTTGAAAAGATACCTTTCCCCAGCTTTACATAAAGAGCGAACTCATTTCATGATGATGTGGTAGCTACATCATATTCTGGAGGTGTGACATTCTACATTAAACTTCATAACAAGGGTTTTATAGTCTTTGGCAATGCAGGTACTTTGGACTGTACAATAAAGGCTCCTTCAACTCCTGTTCTCACTTAATGGTATTGATAAGGTAATTTTCCACTGACTAGGCATTTTAGCAGTGCTTAGCAGGAGATTAAAGGAAAATCATTCCGATGTGCTGTCAAGTACTAAATTAGAAATCAGCTCTTCACACTATCTACAGGTAGATGGATAAAGGCTCCCTCCAAGAAGAAAAGGTAATGAGTAACTTAATTATAACCTTACATGCTGGATCTGGCATGCTCCAGGGCAAAAAAACAGCTCTGAATTCTTCCTGCACTTAGAACTTGCTATCGTGGCAGTGTGCACACATGGGCTCATTCCAGAGCAGGGGCAAGGTGGGAAGAAAGTCAGCTTGTACTAACCGCTATTTCCACAACCCCTATAAAGAACGACAGACCTCTCACAAATGGATCGTGAAACATAAATGCCTCAGCACTGACTTATGATACTCTCATGAAGAGATGTCCTTCTGTTTTTCCCAAAAACTGTTTAAGCAATGCCACTGACAGCCCACATGAAGAAAACAATATAATCTACATTAGCTGACTTGGAAATGGTCACACTTCTAAAGACTCTGATCAATAGTAATGGCTGTAAGGAAGAACGCTGTGTGAAAGACCAAGTTTGTCATTGTATGAACATATCTTCCACACTTCTCTTCCAAGTCTCTTCATGGATTTCTGATTCTGCAATCTCTCTTTGACCATCACAGTAAATGCTACCACAAAAACAGTTTGTGCAACTGGTTGGGGTCTAATTGAACTAAGAAAGTATAAGATTTGTGCTAGGTTTAGGACTAAGGATATGAGACTGCTGGTAGATAATTATTGAGAGCTCTAGTATTTAGCTACTCCCTTCTTCTGCTTGTAGAAAGCATCTTCTGCCTCCATTTCCCATGTTGTTTTACCAGATGTAGCCTGGATCCAAAAGCTGATCTTCTTAATATTAACCCATGCAAAACCAGTTAATTTTCCACCAAAGATATGGATAAGAGTCTGTAAAAGAGCCCAGTATCAAATGCAGGCATGCTGATCAATGCCTAAAATAATGCTTTAGGAGCTTTGTTGACATTGCAACTTTTTTCCTCAGTTGTTTCTCTAATTGTATCTCATGTAATGTGAAGCAACATCGGAAGCCGCAAGAATATTCTGAGGC